GGAATTAACTGATCATTTCTAAGAAAGTTACCAGAAAGTTGGAATTTACATGATTTGCATTTCTTGGATCTAAAAAGGATCCAGAAAAAAAAAGAAAAAAGAAAAGTTATTTGAAACTAACTTGTTACTTCTGTTAAAACCTCCAGGTTCTAGGAAAATACCAGGTATATGAAAGATGTTCAAACGTCCTTGCCAGGTTACTTAAAGTAATTCGTAAGATATTATTCCTGGTAAGTTCGGGGAAAGTAACCACTTTATTCCAAGACAGCTCCTCCCAGTATCAGGTAGGTGGAGACTCTACTATGTAGAGTGCAGGGAAAACAAAGAAGTAAGTAGTGGACTTTCACAGAAGCAGATCCATCCCACTGACACCGGTAAGCATTCAGGGAACAGACATCGAGATAGTGGACCCTTATACACTCACGGGCCACTTTATTAGGTACACCTGTCCAACTGCTCGTTAACACTTCATTTCTAAGCAGCCAATCACATGGCGGCAACTCAGTGCATTAAGGCATGTAGACATGGTCAAGACAATCTCCTGCAGTTCAAACCGAGCATCAGTATGGGGAAGAAAGGTGATTTGAGTGACTTTGAATGTGGCATGATTGTTGGTGCCAGAAGGGCTGGTCTGAGTATTTCAGAAACTGCTGATCTACTGGGATTTTCACGCACAACCATCTCTAGAGTTTACAGAGAATGGTCCGAAAAAGAAAAAACATCCAGTGAGTGGCAGTTCTGTGGTCGGAAATGCCTTGTTGATGCCAGAGGTCAGAGGAGAATGGCCAGACTGGTTCGAGCTGATAGAAGGGAAACAGTGACTCAAATAACCACCCGTTACAACCAAGGTGGGCAGAAGAGCATCTCTGAATGCACAGTATGTCGAACTTTGAGGCAGATGGGCTACAGCAGCAGAAGACCACACCGGGTGCCACTCCTTTCAGCTAAGAACAGGAAACTGAGGCTACAATTTGCATAAGCTCATAGAAATTGGACAATAGAAGATTGGAAAAACGTTGCCTGGTCTGATAAGTCTCGATTTCTGCTGCGACATTCGGATGGTAGGGTCAGAATTTGGCGTCTACAACATGAAAGCATGGATCCATCCTGCCTTGTATCAACGGTTCAGGCTGGTGGTGGTGGTGTCATGGTGTGGGTAATATTTTCTTGGCACTCTTTGGGCCCCTTGGTACCAATTGAGCATCGTTGCAACGCCACAGCCTACCTGAGTATTGTTGCTGACCATGTCCATCCCTTTATGACCACAATGTACCCAACTTCTGATGGCTACTTTCAGCAGGATAATGCACCATATCATAAAGCTGGAATCATCTCAGACTGGTTTCTTGAACATGACAATGAGTTCACTGTACTCAAATGGCCTCCACAGTCACCAGTTCTCAATCCAATAGAGCATCTTTGGGATGTGTTGGAACGGGAGATTTGCATCATGGATGTGCAGCCGACAAATCTGCGGCAACTGTGTGATGCCATCATGACAATATGGACCAAACTCCCTGAGGAATGCTTCCAGCACCTTGTTGAATCTATGCCACAAAGAATTGAGGCAGTTCTGAAGGCAAAAGGGGGTCCAACCCGTTACTAGCATGGGGTACCTAATAAAGTGGCCGGTGAGTGTAAGTACCTTGGTGTTCACCTGAATAACAAACTGGACTGGACTCACAACACTGAGGCTCTGTATAAGAAAGGTCAGAGCAGACTGCTTTTGAGTGCAGGGGGCGCTTCTAAACACCTTCTATGACTCTGTTGTGGCATCAGCCATCCTTAATGGAGCTGTCTGTTGGAGCCGTGGCTTATCTGTAGCTGAGAGAAAGCGGCTGCCAGCGGCTGCAAGCGGACTTGTCCCCGCGGCTCCCGGGGGCTCCAGCATTGCGGTGGCTGGGGGACTTCCTCAGGGCTGTCTCTCCTCATCCCTTGGTGGGGGTCGGATTTCCTGGGCTGGCCCCTCCTTGGTGCCTTTCGCTCTTGGGGCCCCTGTGGGCGTCTGGGTCTCCCGGCGCTGGACTCAGTGCTCTCGGGGGGCGCCTCTTCGGCTTTCCACAACCACTATTAAGCATTTTCTCTGTGAATGAACTTAACATGCACAAGTGCACTCTCACAAACAACTACAGGTGCTTGGTTCCAGGTACTCAGAGATTCACTTCCATACAGTAAGCCCACATTCTTATCTTCAGGTAACATAGAGTACATGTCAGATTAAATATTACTACTTTAGCGATAGTTTCAAGGTGTTACTTTATTGTATATCTTGTACCATGTCTTTTGGTTGTGCTGTTCTTTTTACATCTCTTTGCAGGTGATGAAGCAGACTGAAAATGTTTTATCATTATCTCCTTTCTATCTCCTCTTTCTTTCATCTTTTCTCCTTTTTTTCTGTTTTTCCTCTTCAATCCTATTTACATTGCAGCGTCCATATAATCTTTAAAACTCCCTGCATAATTATAATAAAGCAATTTATATGCATGAAACAAGCGGAACACTATGGCAATAGCCCTACTGCTCCACTTGTGAAAGTAAAATCTCATAAAATATAAAGAATATTTATAGATTAAGGAAAGCATTATTTAGTTATCTTCAGAATACAAAATTAAAAAATAGAATTTAATAGATGTAAAACAATGTTGCTACACACTCGTGAACAGTAGGTGGCGGTTGCTTGCGATCCGCCATGATAGAAAAGAAGAAGAAGAAGGAACGAATGCTTTCATTGGATAAAAAGAAGCTAAGTGTGATTGGCTGATGGTATGGTTCATTTACATACATTGCTGAAGTTGCGAGCGCAGAGAGTCGAGCGAGCGGAGAAACAGCCGAGCTCACAGCTGGTGTTGAGCGCGGAGAGAGCAGGTCGAGCGCGAGCAGAGACGGATTCGAGCGCGCGCAGAGATGCACGCTACAAGCATGCTTAGTGTGAGGGATTGCTGAAGAGTCAATGAGTCGATGCAATCAGCTGGTTTTCCTTAGATAGAAAACTTTGAATCAGTCTGACTGGATGATCTGATATGAGTTATTTTGGATCTAAAAAGGTTTGACAATTGAAAACAAAGCTGTGAAAAATATGTACTCTGTTACACATTTCCATTTTTTTTGGCACACATAATGTTTCATTTGATCAAACATATGCCATTATTAGATGACAATGACCCAAGTAAATATATAAAAGCTTTTAAGCTAACATGCCTAAAAAAACAGATCCTATGTGAAACAATACCTGACCATCACACTACCATTTCCATGTTTTAGTTTTGCCATGATGTTCACAATGATTGCAGTTTTTTTTTTTGAAGATCAGAACTCTAAAAAAAAAACCTGTTGATTTTGATTTCAGCCAGTACTGATTTTGTTTTATTTGTTTATTTATTATGAATTTACATAAGTGCCATTCGTACATGACTGTGCCATCAGTGCAATGCCCATACTGTAATGATCTCTGCACTGATGCTGGGCTGATCACTCCTTCCATACACCTGCTCAGCTCCGCCCGTCCCTCAATCAGCTTTCACCAGCTTCACCTGGTTCCATCACTATATAATCACCACAACACCAGACGTCAGGGCCAGATTATCTTGTGCTAACCCGGTAGGATTAATCCAGCGTCATCTAAATTACTTGTTTGCCCGTCTGTTAACTGCCCCGTTCTGTTTCTGATATTGAGCATAATTGATCCTGTTCTGACTCTGTCAGCCTGTCTGGATATCCTTTCTGTTCTGCTCCTGGACCTCTCGATTTCCAAATCTGTCTGCCTTCCTCTGGATCATAAACCCAGGAAATCTCCTCATAAACTGTCTGCCTATCAGCCTGCTGGCTCCTCTCAGACTCAAACCCTGCTCACAAAGTACGCTGCTGAATAAACTATGCTCTAACGTCACTGAACTGTCTTGGTTGTATTTTGTTCCAGCCTCTGTTCTTCACACATACATGTGAGCAAATATATCTTGCAATTCATTTGTCCAAGATTTTAAAGATCCCATTTCCTTACAGAACAGACATGATTCAAACAGATCATGTCAAACATGAACAAACAGAGCTATCTTATCTATTGTATTATTATATTATATTAATATTAAATCTGTTTTTCTTCACCTTCTATTAGATTTGCATATTTAATTAACAAGTTACTCAAACTGTTCTTGATTCTTGATTTCTTAATGATTATCGACAATGTCCGGTTTTATAATACAAACTTGTTTTAACTACACACGACATAGCACTACTAAATGTAAAAGAACATTTTAAAGCACCGAGAGACCTCAGTGGAGGTAGATATTGGTGGAGAAGGTCAGATGAACGCCAACCAGCCAGAATGAAGGACATGCCCCTAATTAAAATAGCTGCTTGTTTTACGTTGGATTTAACAAAATCACCCATCCAGAAAGTTACCCTTTTTCCTCGTGGTTCCATGAATCATCGAATGTAATTTTTATCCTGTCTCTTCTGTATTATTGAATCATTAAAAGTAAACATTGATGAAGGCCGGTGAGGCCTGGTGGGCAATCGATCTTAACTTTGTTTTTTTTAACGATCTCCAGAAGGAGTCATTTAACCGATTTTGGGATACTTTCTGTTCATTGGCTGCTCCCAGAGCTTAATCACTGTTTGACACATCCCTGTGGTCTGCTCGACTTCAAAAAGTTTTAAAAATGGCTTCTTCAACCTTGTTCGGATGAATAGATTCCATTAATTCTATTTTTCATCTGTTCTTGAATTTTTTGTACCAGGGCATATTTTGTTGTTTTTTGACAGCTCCCACAGTAATCAATCCTTCATGTGGCTTGTGATGTTGGCAAAAGATGCTACGATTTATTCACAGTGAACTCATGATTTTGCAGAGATGTCTGATTACGTTTTTGTTGTTGTTGAAAACCACCATTTATAGTTTTCCAGGTTCCCTTGTCTGACAGTTTGGTGAATAATCTAAAACATTTAAATGAGTTAAAAGCAGAAGGAAAATATAATTTGTGCCAGTGCTTTTTTACCTGTGTTTCTGTCTTCTGTGTCTCATGGAGTTGAACTCCTCTTCTGAACTTATTAGCCCTCCTGTCTTCCATTTCAAATCTGGGCTTTATGTCGCTTTCTTGGATTGATAGATTCTCTTCCAGATGGCTAACTTTCTCTTTCCTTAAAACAATCATGTAACAGTAATGTTAGCCATTTGTCTGTAATTTGCCTTTATTTTACATGTCACCATACGTCTTTGTGTCGCCTGCATCTGTTATAAAATATACTGCTTTACAATTAAGATTGATCTGTCTAAAACCTCATTTCAGATTTTAAGGCAGCTTCTCACATTTCTTTCACGTCCTGTTTGATGTCCTTCAGCTTTTGAACTCTTGCTTCGATATGCTGATGCAGAATCAGAATCCGTTGTCTTTGCACTTTGTACAGATCAACAACCTCAAGGGGGTCTGATAAGTAGATCTTCTGCAAATTGGAAAGGGGGAAAAGCACAAAATTTTGGCTCTGAGCACTGATCAAAATGAGAAATTATGCTTTTAGATTAGATTAAGACTCTGAATAAAGTCTAACCTCACTGCTGCAGTAGCTGATATGAAATAAATCAGTGGACCTAAGAATGCAACAGAGATCAAATGAATGAAGAACAAACCAGTAGAAATGACAGAACTGACAATCAAGTTTAACCTTAACTATGAAACTTAACATTCAGAATAGTTCCCACCCATATTTGTGTGACCATTTTTCTATAACCTTTTTGCTGTAACACCAGAATGTCCCCATTATGGGACAATAAAGGGATTTTCTATTCTATTCTAGTATTACAAACAGCAAATTTAAAATTAGCAACCTGAGTAATTATTCAGAGGTTCTACATATAATAATGGTGATGATTTTATGCCAGCTTCACTTCTGTCAGTCTGCAAAAAGACGTCTGTTTAAAATGCAGCTTACCACCAGAGTGTGAATGTGTGCAGGAATGGGGGAATCACTAAATATAGTGTGAAGTTCCAGTTTTACTGGCTAATTAGTTTTGTTTTATCTTTTTCAGCCAGTGATATTAGGTCACAGGTCTGCAGTGATATCATGTTGTGATATTGATGTTGGAAAGTAGTCTGATCAAAAATCTTGATTTTACCTTCAAACAAGGCGAGCTGAACTCAGTTTACCCAGGTGAGAAATCATTGACAAGTGAATCCTGAGAATTTGAAGATTGATCTGATGTTGGGTAACTTTATTTTTTTGTTAGTTTTTAACTTTGCAGAATCCCCATCATCTCCCTGACCTTCACTCAGAGGGAGATTGACAGAAAGGCTGAAGTTCAGTGTGAGGACGGCTGCTCTTAATTTATTTATTTATTTATTTGTTTATTTATTTATTCACAGCATCTGTGAACTCCTGTTAGCTGAATATCATGGCTTTTATTTAGCCAGAAACACTGTGCAGGTGCATGCGCAGCACTCAACAAGTCACACAGACTTGTTTGGCATAAGAAAACACAGTTTCCCATCAGGCATTGGGAAAGCGGAGCGTCATGACGTCATGCGGAAGTGATGGAGCCAAAATGGCCGCGTCCTTGACAGGCATGTTTTGGTTTCAGTGAGATGAGAAATATCCACTGTTTCAGTAAATCTGCAGACCGCTTGATTGTCAGGAGAGCTGAATGAACGGAATATGGAGAAAAGGGAGTTTGTTGCGTCTCTGGTGGTAAGAAGGACGCGTTTCTATGTTATTTGTTTTAATTTTTTTTTTAATCAAAACTTAAACACAACCTGCATTTTGTAAATAAGCTGCATAGAAACACCACTCTTCAACGTGACAGTCCTAGAAAAACAACACTTTTTCAATATGTTCTATTATTTAACCATATAAAGTTATATTTTTAATAGAAGTATTGGTTCCTTATTGCTTAAATACCGGTTTTATGGTAAATAGTGTATCTAAAAGCTGTGAAATTATTTAATTCGTTAAATATGCAGTTCTCTACAAAGTTGCACATCTCACCCTAAGGTTTTATGTGAAAATTTTTACTATTTCTGAAAGCATAACTGTATTTTTTTAACCATCAGTTCATTGATGGCTTTGCATTAGTGGAAAAAAACAAACAAACAAACAAAAAAAACTTTATTGATCCCACATTGGAGAAATTTACTGTGAGATCAATAAAGGTCAATTATATATATATATATAAAAAATATATATAAAAATCATTTTCTCTAGTTTGCTGCATTTGAAAAAAAATGTTAGTCATTATTCAGCCTCTCCTTGGAGAGCAGCCCAGTGTCAAAGTTAGATCTATTAATAATAAACCCCTTTTTTCAATTAAGTTTTAAGTTTATTTAGTTTTTAAGAATATTTTCCAATAGGGACTTGGTAAAACAGCTGCAGTATTACAGGTATTAACACTCAGATTCATTTGGTAGCATACAGTCGCACAGTTTTCTTAAGCATTATTCAAAGTTACTTGAAGAATAACAGAAACGCTTCCTAAGTGCTTCTAGATTTGAAGGTAAGTAGATATACAATGTCTTGCAAAAGTATTCAGACCCCTTTAACTTTTTGACCTTTTGCTACATAAAGGTATACAATTGTAATTTTGATATCCAATACTATAATATAATGATAAATGCAATTTTATATCTTTATGTTTGTGGTAAAGGTCAAAATGTTCAAGGGGCCTGAATAATTTCACAAGGCACTGTATCTTTCTGAACTGAAGAGCTGTGGTTGAAAAGAGTACAGCTGTTCTGAATTATTGTCCATATAATATCCAAACATACAACAACATAAGAATTGTTCTTTAAATAAGATTGTGACTATTTTATTTTAAACTGTAAATTGGTTGATTTTGTGTGTTTTAGTTTGCCAATATTTCCAATTTCTTTGCACAATTAGAAGAAATTAATGGAATTTTGCTTCACTATAAATATGCAGAGAATGATGATGATCGGTAAACAGTTCATCGCTGTAGGAAATGTCTCACAGGGCGTGCATTTGAAACAATGCATCTAAAAAGGTGCCTGTCTCTGCAGGCAGGAGGCTGTGCTGGGATGTGCGCAGATCTGACCCTGTTCCCATTAGACACCATCAAGACCAGACTGCAGAGTCAGCAGGGCTTCCACAAAGCAGGAGGCTTCAGGGGCATCTATGCCGGGGTGCCGTCTGCTGCTGTTGGTTCCTTCCCCAATGGTAAGAGACTCAACATGGTGGCCTCCTGCTGCTTCACTGATGTTTGGATCTGGAGCCTAATGTGCAAATCAGAAATTGTTTTTAAAAAACAGAAGTGCACGAATAAAAATGTTTAAACGCCATGCTGTTGTGAAGCATGGTAGTGTAAGGGTCGGTTTGTCTCTACTTTATCAGGGACCTGATAAATTCAAGATAAGCATCAATTTAAAACAAAGGTTGTTTTAAAGTCCTTTGAATCTTGTTTATGCAAGATTCTGACTCACAAATATAATAATATAAACTAAGACGTTTAAACTATATATTTTCTTTACCTTTTTACATAAAGTGTTAAATGTCCTACCAGATCTACCATTTTTATGCTTCCTGTAAAATAAAAAAAACAAACATAAAATACATTGCAGTATTTTTTGGTTTTTGATCCCTATAAGATTTTCTAAGGCCTTTTTTATTCTAAAGACTCTAAAAATTGAACATGCAGTCAGAAACATTAATCATGTTCATTTGACCTTAAAATGGTATGCTGTTTTTTTTTTTAATTCACAAGAAATTTCTCAAAGCCATTTTAGAGCATGTTTGGTAATCCTCCTCACAGTAAATAAGAATAATGAATAAATTATGTTAATACATTTTCATTAATATTCAATCGAATATGTACATGTACCCATGAAAATAAAGAAAATACACACAATACATTTTTAAGCATAATTGATCATTTATGTATTATTAGAATTATAAATCTTAAAGAAAACAAACACATAGATTTTGTGAGTTGTAAATGAAGAGGGAATATTCCATCAAATAAATACAGTTCCCTAACAACCCCTTCACCTACACACACACAGAAATTATTATTATTTTTTTAATTTGTAGGAATATTTATTAAGGTTTTATAAATAGTAGTATGTATTTTTAATGACACCGCTCTCCTAATTCCTTTTGTTGGTCTTTTTCTTCTAATATGCCCTAAAACGTTCCAAGGGGTATAAGTACTTTATTGATCAAGTTTATCAAAGTAGACAGACTTATTGCAAAGTCTGTCTAGTTTTAAGCAAAGTATACAGGTGTAGGAGTCAGCTTTAAGTCGGTGGTTTGGATAAAGGAGAATGGTTTAGAGATATTTGAAGAACTGTTCAAAGCTTGTACCCTCACTTTATTTATTTATTTATTCAAAAATAAGATTCCATGTAGACATTTGTTATCCTTATAACTGCAGAAATCTTTGATATGAGTAGAACCAGTGCTAATTGATGATCAATAAGCCGTTCAGGTAAATTTAATTTGCTGATTAATGAGTTGAAATGATTCAGCTCCGGCTGTTTCTGTGTGTTTTTTAGGCAGAGAAAGACAGATAAGGAGGTTATATAGTGGAGATTCTTATACATTTAATGAAAACTACAGGATGAGTTGATTTAGCGGTGAGAAAGAATTAGTCATTCCACTTTAGGCACGTATCATTTCCTTGGCATTTCTTCTTTGCTAAATGCTGAAACACACGTTCTCCCACCTCGCTGTCTCCCCAACTGTCTGTGACTGTGAGGAATATTAATTGCTGTATGCTGGTTGACTAATGGACCCTAAATGACTGTGGTTCTGCTTGGTTTCAGCTGCTGCGTTTTTTGTCACCTATGAATACACCAAGTCCCTTCTGGGCATCAGCGCAGCGTTCGCAGCCCCACATGCAGCACCTGTCAGTCATATGCTGGCTGCCTCCCTGGGAGAAATAGTAAGTTGTTTTTTTTAGCTGTTGTTATTTATTATTTATTTCCTGTCCCTTCTTTATCCAAATTGATTTCATCTGTTTTCCATCTTTAGAAGACAAGCTATTTTCTCCCTTTGCTGCTTTTTCTTTCCCAGATGAACACCGCCGACATGCGTGCTAATGTTACTGCCTTCTAGATTTCACAGGCTTCTATTAAAGAGGGGGCAGCTAGGGAACGAAGACAGGGAGGGGGGGGGATTGGTGTTTGGCTGTGGGCCTCTAGGGTCCAGCTGGGTGAGTTAAGGGGGCTGTTCCGGTGTTTTCCCCACCAGCTGGGTAAATAAGATCTCATTACCGTCTATTGACTCATCTACTTTCCCATAGAGGACACCCGGCCAATTTAGTCTGGGAAATTTAGACTTGAAGCTTGCAAGGAGCGGTGCAATATTTCCTCAGTCCACCCCTCTCCCAGTTGCTGGAAGCGAGCCCCAGCATTCAAACCCTATGTGGGCTCCTGGTATTCAGATTGGCATGAAGGGGGGTACGGAGATAGGGCTGTAACCTGGACTTAGGTATTCATAGCTTTTCAATTGATGTAATTTAGTAGAGTTTTGCATGTTTGCGACATGGAATGATTCCCAATGAGGGGATGTTCATGTTGTCTTTGCGCCTATTAGGCCCTGTCCACCATGATGACGGGGATACTTTCCACAACTTCTTTTTCTGCTGCACTTGCCTCCTGTCCACATGCAGGCAGAGTAATTGCTGAGAAAAGCTTTTCAAATGTAAACTGTTCTAAAAACTC